TTTTTTTGGCTGTTTAAGTTTGATCACTCATTTCAATTTCTTATCAGCTGCAACTGCCTATTAACTTGAAATATTGTCGGGGCAAATCATTTGGCTAGAAAAACATCAGGAAATTGTGAAAAATGGCCACTGTGATGTTTTCCAGTATCCTGTTTTGTCTGACCAGCAGTGAGAAACCCCCACAAATATTGAGATTCCTTTTTTTTTTTTTTTTTTTTTTGAAGGATGTCCTCAAATGTTTACGTGATTTACGCAGAGACAGGTTAGCAACCACTGGTTGGTATGGAAACTGTTCCCCAACTGGTTGCCGAGTGGTTTCTAGGTGAATCTGAAATCCAAAGATTTGTACAGTTGGCTCATAAATTTGTGGATCAGGTAACCTATGTCAAGCCTCAGTTGCGCAGGCCCAGACACAAGCCGAGAACCACAAGCCGAGAACCACAACCAGTCAGAAGGGAAAAATGTTCCCTGGCTGATTTTGATGCTGGTGCTGCAACAAAAACCTCCTTGTGATATTTTTGGTCACCCATGGTCTGAAAGTGGAGATTGTTCACCTTCAAATTAAAATTTGGACCTTTTCAAAAAGGTTTCTGTTTGTGATATGCATCACACTTTCAGTACAGCTCAGCAAATAGTTCTTGAGTGTTTTTTGTTGTTGTTTCTTTTCCAAAGCAAAGCTTATTTGTATTTATTAATTTTCTTATGATTGTGATTATTATTTTATTTTATTTTTTTAGGATGTCCATGATTTAAAAAACAAACAAAAAAACAATGTCAACGCTCATTCTGTGTAAATCGGGTTCAGAGTTGGGCCTTTGTAACACTCGTGCAACCTTAGATTGCCAGTCCAGTTATTTATATAGCACCAATTCACAACAGGCGTTGCCTCAAGATGCTTTATATTTCAAGGCATAGACCCTACAATATAAAAGAGAAAACCCCAGCAATCAGAATCCTCTACTAGCGAGAGTAACTGTGGTAACTGTGAGGAGGAAGAACTCACTTTTAAAAGGAAGAGACCTTTGGCAGAACCAGTTTCAGTGAAGGGCAGCTATCTACTGGCACCAGATGGGGTAAAACTAAAACAAACCCAAGCAGAATACATAAAAGTGAAGCACAGAAAATAAAATGTTTGTTGTAACAGGTTTCCCCCGGCTTTTATCGTGACTCAGCCAATGGGAATGTACCATGGAGACAAAGAATAGAGCTCCAAAATCCATCCCCTCAGTCAGTAGGTATCACGATGCAGTCTTTTTTTTTGGCGCAGTTTAGTTTAGTAAGAGTCGAGTCTCACACTGTGAATTGTAAGATTACTAAAAATCACACACCTTAACAGGGAAAATAACTAGCAATGAAAGTGTTCATCAGTGCGGCTCAACAATCAGTGTAAACCTTGTGATAATGTGCGGATGGGTGTGTCTAAAAGTTTTCTCCATACACAGCAAAAAAATGAAAGAACAAACCAAATAACTCGACTCCCTAAAAATACCACAGCACAGATTGTTCAGCAGCAGAGAGCAGCAAACCTGACATTTGCTTATATAAAAATGCGGCAGCTTACTGCTCCTGCTTTGTCATACCCTCTCTGATGTAAGTTAATATTAGCAGCGGGCACTTGTTATTCCCTTGAGGGGCCTTGTATTGTCTCTACCCCACAGATGGCACTTTGCGTCACTGGTTTGCTCTCCTAAAACCACAGAGAGCCGCAGCAGCGATACAAGGGAAACCCTCACTGCATAGGCATTCCTTTGAGCATGCCTCTCACACCACATCACATGGGCTTGACCAGAAAAATGTTGACTTTTCACAGTCCCTCTATTCAAGCATGGCTGGGCTTGACCTAATGGGCAGGGGCCTTTTATACTTTTTACTTTTTATATAACAGCCTTTTCAGCCGCAGCATTTTAACCTCGAAGACACAGGTTCTGATGCTATCCAACGTTTGAAAGAAGAAAGAAATAAATGAATGGGGAGTTTTATTCCAAACCACTGCGTATGTATATTGGAATGAAAATCATTGCCTGGAGTCGTCACTCATCAGTGTGCGAGTCATATATTGTTTTCTTTTTGCTAGAAACAGACTTAACATTCCTGCCATTCTTTTACAGCTCCATTCTCTATTTACAGAAAGACATTTTATATGACACTTGACTCAGTTTTCGGATCTCTCAGAGATTCCCTGTGGAGTATTTATATATTTTTCTTTTACCTATTGATGCAACAGATATATTTTATCCTCAGCTACATGTGTGCAATGAATATCCATGATGGGTGATGGTGAGAGGTCATAAAAGGTTGCAAAACACCAGGGAAAAGGAAAGAGAAGGACAACTGAAGCTGAAAACTGTTTTTAAATTATTTATGCGTTACTAGGCAGGCGCAGTCAGACTGAGTGTATTCATTTTTTATTTTCATTTTTTTTGGCGCAGTGTAGGAGGCCTAGTTGTCACTATTTCTGTTCAGTAGCTCCTACATTCACTTACCCAGACATAAATCAAGTTTGTGCAGGTCCTTGAATGGTCTCAAAAGGCAGCGAATTCATTGGCCTAAAAATAAAACCTTAGTTTTTCTGACACTGATGTTTATATTTTTAATATACAGATAAAAAAAAGAGAGAAACGGGATGCTCAGGGCAGGTGTGATATCTGAAAAAGTGAGGATCTTGCAAACTGACCTGAAACTGGAACCATGCAAAAGTGCATGAGACTCGGTGTGTTTTGTGCAGGAAGTGTTTCAAACTATGCACGATGCCGTGATGGGAATCGAGGCAAATTAGAGCCTCGATGTTACAGGCTGAAACTGCCTACATGTTCCTAT